ATATATATATATATATTTCCCTTGTTTTAAGTTGCTTGGTTTTGAGCACATTTTTTCCAAAGTTGATCGTACGGGACTTTTTTTACTTAAATAATTAATTTAACTTGCTTGAAGACATTTCACTTCTCATCTGAGAAGCTTCTTCAGTTTTAGGGTCAAACGGTGGAGCGTCCCAGATTTAAGCTCTGTGGGAGTGACCCCCCAAGAGGGACAATGGACCCCCTAATGATCCTCTACCTAATCACATGAGCCAAGGTGTGAAAATGGGTGTAGGTCACAATTAGCCAAGGTTTCAGGTGAGCTCATTGTGAAACCTAGCCCCACCCCATCATGTGATTTGAGGTCTGATGGCCCAGGATGTGAGTGGGCCTTCCCAGACGATGAGCTCAGAACCTTAAAGAACCTTAAAGAAGTCCAGGCGTTTTGTTTCTAAGCTCCTTAGACTACGATGACCTGGATGACTGAGAACCTTCACAGACAATTAACTAAACTGTGATGCTCTGTGTTTTGTTTTGGGGTTTTTTTTTGCGGCGAATCTGTAAAGTCACATGGCTGTATTCCTCTGATGTCTGGCATTTGATTTGAATCTTTCATAGTCAGGTTGAGATGGATGCGCTTAATGGCCTGCATGGAGTTGAGGCGGATATGCGATGCGGACATCACAGGAAATAGAGGAGGGAAGAGCAAACCAGATGCACTGTGAGGGCCGAGGGTTTAATTCTCGCTTCGTCCAGCTACGCTAAAAAATGTATCCAGTCAACACTGTGCAGCAAAATGAACTGTGGTTAAGATACACTCAGTGCTTCTGTTCACTTATTACCTCAATCCATCATTCCCGCAAACAATTTGACACCCTGTTGTAAAGTGCCTGCCAGGGCTCTCGTGCCCACAGAATGGTCAGAGTTTTTTTTTTTAGAGTTTTCTTCTTCGTCGTCTCTTTCTTCTGTTTCTCTCTCTCGGTTTTGTTTGGTCGTTGATGGCTGTGACAGTGTTGCGCTTGTCCTTATCTGCATCTTCATGGATCTTCTTTGGTATTGTGAAATAGGTGGATAAAAACTAATAAAGTGGTTATGACAACAGTTCTGGAGTCGTAGCTTTTTAACATGACGTCAAAAAAACAAAAGCAAAAAGAAAGAAAAGAAGAAAGTGTGGGATGTGTGTGCTGGGTTTGAGTGGCTGATTCCTTCAGACTTGCCAAGCCATCCGGATTACACTTCAACTAAACAATTGCACTCAGCATGCAAGCCTTTATACATAATCACACACTAAGAAAAGGCTTTAAGCTCTTTTTGTTGTGTGCCAGACTGGATTAACAGCGTATTTGCTGTCAGATGGCACGTGTGTGTCTTTTACACGGAGGCAGTACTCAGCAAAGACACTCCACAGAAATCCTGACCGCTGATGTAGACATAATAGATTACTCATAAATTTAACGAAGATCATGATGATTCGTGACTGCTCATCTGCCCACACACCACATTTCTTGGCGATCGGTTCATCTTAGCTGTGAGCTCAAGTCTAACCTCCAACTGCACAACACTTCATTAAAGTTCTCAATCTCACTTCAGCTGGTTTCTTGTGACTTCCTCAAAACCCAACCTTTACAGTCTGGTGACCAGCAATTTATGTCTACACTCTCTATACTTTTATCTCTAAAACACCAAATTTAGCTGTAATTTAAGTAAGTTTCCTTTTATCTGTCTAAATTTATTTTTTTTGAAAGGGGAGAGTTTGGTTAGAAGAATCCCCTCGAGGTTCTCACTGTGTTTGATGCCAAAGAAGAAGAAATAAAAGATATCTATGATCTGTTTCCCAAGAAGATATTAATAATCTATGGGAGGCAGGAAAGAAAGCTTTAGAGATAAACTGGCTTCTGCCACTCTAGACTGAAAAATCAACAACTGTGTGGGTCACAGTAAGATTTTCATGCAGAAACGAATGGTGGCTAGATACCTTTGGTAATAGGAAGCTGACCTTCGTGGCTTCAAGGATAGACTGTAAAAAATCAACACATCAAGTAATGTTTTCAACCCTTGAGTTTATTCTGGCTGTGCATATTGTTTTTTTTTTTTCAAAGCCAGAAATTAGAGGACAAAAGGATAGACCAACTAACCACTAACCATTGGTTAGCTTCGTTACTAAGGTACATCCTTTTTTCCATGATTTTAACAGAGACGCTAACAATGGATCATTAAAGATGATTAAATTAAGCTAATAGGTAGGCTACTTAGAAGCTAAACAGGTCTCTGTAGGTTCAACAAGCGATGTAGGTACACCAATCTTTTATGCCATTGGTGACTCATCAGTGGCTCGTTGGTCTAGGGGTATGATTCTCGCTTCGGGTGCGAGAGGTCCCGGGTTCAAATCCCGGACGAGCCCCACTTGTTGCTTTGCTCTAAAAAGTTCCAAGGGAATGAAGAAAAAGAAAAAAAAAAGCAGGCAGAATGGTTAAAGAAGTGGTTTTTATTAAAGTTTCTAATAACAACTAATCTTTTTGCAACTGCTGTTATTGCCATCTCATGGCACTTCTGCATTGGCCTAATTTTTCAGACACAGAGGCTACGTCCATGTTTGGTACCATGTATGCCCACAGCTGAATATGAACAAGAACGTGAACAAGGCTCAACAACACCCACATGCCACATGTCAATAATTCCTAATTAGAGTTTAAATTAGCATGTTATATAAAAGGCTACTCCCTGTACAGCTGTTGCGAAGGAGGAAATGAAAAAAACAACACAATTTTTTGCACCAGGCTGAATAAACCTGCTTCTGCTATAAAGCTGAGTTGATTTTTTGGAGCCAGCAATTCATTTTCAATTCAGATTTATTTACATAGCACCAATTTCCAATAACAGTCACCTCAAGGTCATTTATACTGTAAGGTAAAGACCCCACAGTCTTCTGAAGAAAACCCTAATAACTAAACTTTGTGACTGTGGGAAGGAAAAAACTCCCTTTTGACAAGAAAAACTCTCGGATCAGAAAGAGGCAGCCGTCCGTCCTGACAGTTGGGAGGCTGTGGCTCAGGAGTTTAAAGCAGGTTGCCTGCTAACCAGAAGGTTGGTGGTTCGACCCTTGTCTAACCCCAAGTTACACCAGAGTATGGATTTGTGTCAATGTTAAATAGAAACTACTTACATTAAAAAAAATGAATGAGGTGAGTTGTATATAAAAAAGTGCTCAGTTAGAATAGAAAAGTGCCATATACCATGAGGGGAAACTAGAGAAGAGAATGAAAAAGAGAGGATGGGGACACAAGCCCCCATATTAGACGCACAATAGTTTCCTGTGGATGGATTATTGTGGGATGTTTGGTTTGCAACATCAAACCATGCTTGTATACAACAATGGCCATTTGAGGCAAACAAGCACAACCAGCCAGTTCTGTGAGAACAAGACAGGGAAAAATTGCTTCTCTTTCTGTCTGAACACACTTTTTGCCACATTTGTGCTGATGCTGGCTCCTCGACATGGAGATTTAAGGACATATTTCGAGAGTCATCAGCCAATCACTCAGATGGATAATTAGTCAATCACTCAGATGAATCATCTAAGCAGCAAATATTGTTTTTCATTGTTAATTTCTGATTCTTGGCTCCATCTTTCTGTTGATGTCGCCTCTGTCACAGCTTGTTAGCAGAGTCACATGGAGCGTTCCTTTCCTCTCCCCAACAGTCTGCTTCCCCAGCTGTTGAATTATAGATACCTTATTACCTCTGTGTAAAGGCGGCATTTTATTATGAAAAACCTTATGTGACACACTACCAACCAGCGACAAGTCTAACACGAGTTTTTACATTTAATCTTACAGCCTCTCAGAATCTTTCTGCACATTTTTTTTTCTCATTTCATTCAGGACAGACTTGGCAGGGAGGCGAGCGCCAGTCTTTCTCGTGACTACAGAAAAAAAAAGATTACAGATGGATTTTATTGTCACTGCAACTCATGGCTTCATTGTCATGAGCCCTGCAGTCATGCAGCTCTTACAGATCCTCTCATAATTGTACAATTAAGTAGTTATTCACCTTTACTTGCTTTGCTTTAAAAACCTAGGCTCCACTATCCAAACTACTTTTACTTTCTTTTTCTTGGCCTCATCTCATACTTACCATAAAATATTTACAGTGTGTTTTCCCCTTGTGATAAATAATTTCCTCAAGGTCTTTATATCACCAGCTTTTCTCTTGACATAGTTTCAACACACCGTTTGTCAAAAACATCTCCTTCTTTCCTTTACTTTGACATTCTCATTTCAGCGTACCCACCAGCCCTCTGGCACCTTTTTTGTGATTTTCTCACCTGGGTATGCAGTGCTTGCTTTCTGCCGCTCAGTGTATTTTTGAAGCTGTTTCACATGTGATTGAAGTGTGAAACAGCTGAGGAGGGTAGCTGTAGCTAAGGAGATGGAGCAGAAGATTCATGGTTCGATTCCTGGCATGTCAAGTACTGTATCCTTGGGGAAGATACTGAACCCCAGGTTGCCACCAGAGCATCCACTGGAGTGTGGATGTTAGGTTAGATCACTTAGGCATAGTTGGGGGAGGGGAAAAAAAGAAAAGTGTGGGTGAATGAGGCTTGGAGTAAGAAAGCACTTTGAGTGCTCAAGTTGTGTAGAAAAATACTATATTAGTACAAGTGTTTTATACCACTCAGCATTTATTTTAACAAGTTCTTGATGATTTTGAATGTAACTAATCCAAATACATATAAAAAAGTAAAGGCCAGCCTTGCTATTGTTGTTTTCATATGCAAATTTGCGAACATAAGTCAGGCTGTCATGTTCTTTTCAGAGAGAAGAGGCTTTTTCTTGGCAACGCTTCCCAGAAGCCAAACATGCTGTCATGAACTTTCACATGCTATCTGAGATCTGGAGAGTCTGAGATGTAGCTCTTGGGTTTCTTCCAGTTTCTACTACATTGAGTCGCCTGATATTGGGGGGAATTTTAAACTCCTGG